AGGATTGGATTTTTTTCTTTTATCAAGAAAATAATGTTTTTTTTATAACTTCGTTCGTAAATTTAGGAGATTTTTTTAAATTAAACTTGCAGAGGTTTTTTTGCTTTTCTGAATTATTCTACAAAGTCAGTTTTCAAGGATGTTTTGCATGTTATTAATTCCAGGCAGTGGAGTTTCCATATCATTAAAATCTCTCTTTTGCTCTCGTTTTCTCAGAGCTCGTTTTCTTTTCATAATATACCTGACAGCGAAAGGTGGAGTTGGAGCGCCGCCAGTTGCGTAGTCAAATGCAAAAGAATTTAAAATTTAGATCGCACGTTGCCGAAAGAGGAAAAGCAGCGGCGCGTGAAAAGCCAAACGGCTGCTGTCAAAAAGAGAGCGAAAAAGCGGCAGACAAAGAGCAAAGGGGCGAATCAAAAGTTTGTCCGCCGGTTCTATTGACTGAAGCCTCGCTTAAAATTATATGTGTGCGGTCATGCAAATGCAGTCGCGAATTGAACGCAACATCAAACGACCACCATCTCGATTTGCATCTGGAGAAAGCCAATTAGAGAACGCGCGATCCACCTGCTGAATAAAATATGAAGCAGTGTCGCACAAAGCATAATTAAAAGCGACTGCTGTCGTTGATGGCTCGGCCGGGCGGGCGGGCGAAGCCATTAAACGCCGCCGGCCCACCCAGGCTAATGCCATTTTTGCTGCCGATATCTCGTTGCTCTGATTTACGAGTTAGCCACGCGTGGAATTAGCGCCGGCCGATGGGGCTTTGTTACTTTATCGCGCTGTTTATGAATCGCCCTGCAACCGCCGGCCGGCCCGCTCGGATCCCTTTAATTTACACGTCCCATAGATTAAAGGCAGCTGGTGTAATTAGCGGACGTTGTTACAAACGGGCTGAAAAGATTTTGTTTTATTATTCAAAATATGCCGACACGAATCACGGTGGAAATTATCACGCGGCTATTTTCAGGCTGAAACACGAGCCATAATTTACAATTTTTTTGTCACAATGATAATATTAAAAAGTGGTGTGGAAAATTTCATGTTTGGAATAACCTAAAATTACTTGTTTTGTGCAAAAAAATCTTTACCTCTATTTTTATGAGTGATCTGTAATTTACTAGAGCCAATCATTGTAGTATTAACTTTAAAGAATAATAATTATTGTTATATGTACCCAGAAAATATATAATTACACGTGAGTGCAATAAAAACACATTTCAACGCGGCTAATTAATTTTCAGCCAAACAAAATCCCCGGAGTGTGTCAACGCCGGGATCAAATATGCAAATTTTGCCGCACGCACTTTGTCAGTCTCAAATGCGCATATACGGCCGTGGGCAAACAGGCGAAAGCAAACAAGTCGAATTTCCGTCCGCTCTATCGAGAGAGATTTTTGCGAGTAGGCAAAAAATTGTAGTGGCTCTTCCGAATGGCATGTAAACGCCTCCTGCTTTACTAATCCGACTCGCATCATCGCCTCATTTGCATAGCCAAACTCTGCGGGCCAACTTGGGCTGAGGTAAACAAAAACAGTCTCTCTTCTCCCTGCGTAATGCTTGCTGCGGTGGAATGTTTAGCTGCTGCTGACGGAGGCTCGATGGTGTATTTGTGCACGGCAAGACGGCGCAAAGCAAGCAAACCAACCTCGCCACTTAAAGTCATGCTCCGCAGCTCCTGGCAGCTGCACTCGGGGATGTTTTGGCAACGTGTTAAGACGCAGCTAATTAGTGCCACAGCAGAACGCGATTTGCCAATCAAAACGCGTGTTTGACTAAAATAACAATTGGGCTGTTTTCTCAAATCACATTGTTTTGAGAATAAACATTCTGGAGAAAAACTGACACCAATGACAAGTTGCTTGAAACCAACAAGTTCAATGAGCTATTTAATCAAAATTTAATACAAAAATAATGATTAATTGATGAATATAAAGCAATAAACAACAAATAAATAAAAAGAAGGAAGATTGGAAGCTCAAGAAAGGGCCAATAAGTCATTTTGTATCAACCTGAAAAAAATATATATTTTTTAAACTAATTAAAAATATACAACACAGGTATAATTAAACCTGTTTTATATTATTCTTCAAGATTTTTGAACATTTTGAGTTTATAAATATTGCAATATCTCTAAGCAAAAAGTGAATAGTAATTTTCAACACGAATTGAGTTACAGCGGCGTATTTATTAGTCTAGTTACTCGCTATTCATATACGCCCTAGGCAGAGGTCAAACAGCATCTCATTTGCCTAATCACGTCTGACGCAGATCTCAAATGCAAGCACAATAACGTGTAATTCTTTCCTGCATGCAGATGCACCACACGGCGAGCGCTAGATAAGAATTTAATTAAAAAGTAAGACGGAAAATGCAGCAGTCCTGACCTAAAAACACCCGTTTCAGAAAGAAAGAAAGAAAGAATGAGGCGATGCAAGAGATCCACACCATTTTATTATTTTTTTCCACCTCCTCGCACAAATTAAAAGCTCCCTCTCTTTTCAAAACGTGTTTTGTTTACAACGCGTCTGACTGGCAGAGAAAAAGCTCGCGGAATTATATAAAAAAAAAAATGGTAATAAATTCCCCCCTGCTCTCTCTGCATGTTGAAGCCTCGCGCAAATGGACCGCCCTGCTTGATAATTATTTTGCCGTCCGTGTTTACGCGCGCCAATTTGAATAATAAAGGACAAATTTAATGGGGACTCGTTACCGGGGAATAGCGTTAATTTTAATTTACAATAACGTGGCAGCAGGGTCGTGAATGCTTAATTAGAGGCAGCTCTTTTAATGACTCCCTGATGCTCAGCTGCTTCTTTTCGCGGCGTGATGTATGAGGTACCAACAGTACGGCCCGCTTTTCACACAAATAAAAACTGCAAAAAGGCCAGTGCTTAACCCACTTTTGAAATTTTGCATCAAGGCGCGTGCGTTTCTCTCGCTACGTGCGCGAGGAGAGACCGCAAACGCACACATTCCAGTAAACTGCTGCTGTTTGTGTGCCCGTCGTTATAATGAATGGAGATTACTTATCTCCTCGTTTTAATGAGACCCGCATGTGTGCTCGTGCGCCGGAGTAAATTAGAAATTGTGCGAGCACGCGTGTCTGTATCTGTTTTAAAATATGCAAGGCGCTCTCGTCAAGTCTCGCTTCTGAATTTTGCCACTGCTTATAAAGTTCAAAATTAAGCCCACAGTTCTCAGAGGAATCTGAAGCAACTCTAATTAAACTAAGTTATATATATATATATATATATATATATATATATATATATATATATATATATATATATATATATATATATATCTATTTGGTTTGAACTTTTACTTGCACAGTCTATAATATATACCTAGGGTGAAAATAACTTCATTTCCCTTCAGCTGAAATTAGAGATCATAAACTTTGTAACTTCCTCCTTGTGAGAATTACAGTTTGGAGAAAATATCTTAAAATAGAGAAGAATTTTCAAAGATTTTGCAACTTTTTTAATTTATGAGCTTATATGATGTTCTTAGAACAGTGTATGTTTTGATTATTTTTATCTGATGTGATTTTCAGTCGAAATTTCACCATGAAAAGACATCAATGAAACAAAACACATATTTAAAAAAAGTTTGTCTTCAGTCTGAATATATTTAGAATGTTCGTGTTTTTGATCAAGTCCTTGTCACTTTTAAATCATTAATTATTTATTTAAATATAAAGGAAAATTGAAGTTGACTGATTTTTTATTTTATAAAAAGGTACTATGTAGAATTTTTTTAGCAATATATCATATAAAAGATCATTAAAAATATGATAAATCAATTTAAAAACATTTTCATCCACGCATCCTTGCTTGGTCGCCTCGGCATGCAAAAGGGGAAAAAAATCACCGAGCCCTGCTAACTTTTGTCGGCAATATTTCATCCCATTTCAATATAAAGTTTGCATGAGCGCGAAATTTATTACCGTGAAGTAATAAAATGTCACCGGGGGTAGGAAAGAAGCGAGGCAGAAAGGCATCTTCGTTCCTCGCTTCCTCTCCGTCTACCTGATAAAACGTTGCTGCTGCTGGAGAAAGAGAAGCCCGCAATATCATTATGCCCTCGGAGAAAATCATTAGGTCATCTCCGAGTGGTAATAAAAAACGACGAGATGTGTCGCACACCCCCGCGCCTCTGAAACCCAGTGAAGCTCGAATAATGGCGGCGAATGTTCCGCATGATGCATGTATTGGAAAATTGATACGGAAAGCAGGCAGGGTCGTGAATATGTGCAAAAGAGTTGCTCTGGTATGAGCCATCTGTTTTTTCACACCCACGTCGCCCTCATTTCGTATGGACCTCATTTCGTATGGACAGCCGAAATGAAAAATTCAAATGCGTCAGAATTGTTTGGCCGTTAAAAAGCTTTTGAATGTTTTCATCAAGCATGTTACTTTTCCAAAAAAATAAAGGCTTGATTAAAACACTTTAAATATATTTTAATTTCGGACCTTTTTTTAACCAATTTCCAAAAGTAATGTGAATTGCAAATTGGCAATTTTGGTGGAACGTTTTTGCTGAAATTCATTCGACGGTGTGGGTAAATGTATTCTAGCGGCAGTTAAATAATTGAATCAGTGGAACGCGAAAATCCATGACTGCCATTTTCATTTTTTTGACAAAGCCGTAGTCGCACCCGCTGGGAAAAATTGGTTCGTCCAACTTTTCCCTTCCCGCTCGCGAAGCATCTGTCAAAACAAACGAGCCAAACGAAACGCAGAGAAAAGCCAAATCTTATTTGCACGCCGGCCGGGTCAATTGGCTCACGAGCAGCTCAGCCAAAACAGCACAAATTGCTGGAAAGCCCAAAGCGCTGAATAAAACATGAAGACGCCCGCGATAAGCGCGGGATGGATATTCATATACACCTGCTGCTCTGCCGCTTTTTATCGTCTGCTTGAATAATATTATGTATAATTCATATTTGCAGTTGTTTCGCTTCCCACGGGTGAACCCCTTTGTTTTGTTGACAGGTAGGAAGCATGCCAGCCCGCTGCGGCAATTCATCTCGCTCTCAGCCCCGCAAGCATCAATAAAACAACACCCCGTCATGTCCGCTCATTTGCTGCTCCTCTTTGTGGTGCTGGAGACGGCGGCCTCGCAGGTGCTCTGGACGCCCATCTATCTGGACAGCAACAGTGAGTTTTCCGCATTTTCTGCCTCTTCCTTTTCTCTCTTACAAATAAACATTCCTCTCAATAAAGATGGGAAATTTATTTAAGCATGAAGTGAAAAATTTCCTTTTTTCTTTCTTTGAATAAGAAATATCCTCTCTTTTTACATACAAAAAACCTTATACTTTTTAAAGCTTACTTTATGATCTTTTGTTAACAAATTTTGTAAAAATATTAGCATGGACTTTAGTAAGACAAGAGTCCATGTTTATGTTTTTCTTTTATTTTTTTTTTAATAATAATTAAGTTTTTTTACTAATTATTTATTCTTTAACAATATAATTTTATAATTCGATATTTTTCAAATTTAACTGCTGTATCTTTTTTTGTTTAGTATAAAAAATAAATATACATCCAAAAATGGTCTTCAATTAGATAATGAAACCTCAAGATCAATGGTAGATCTCCTTTTTTCACTTATATGTATGTGGTTGCCTCCAAATTTTTGGTGTAGCCTAATTAAAAAAAAATTATCGATGTAAAAGCAAAAAAAGCAAAATAATCTGCTTACAGTGGCTCTGTGTAAAGGATTTTAAATATATGAAATAACAAAAATTTTTAAGAGCAAATATTTGGGATAAAAAATACAATCAGTTTTTTTTCATCATTTGAATTAGATTTAGCAAACGATTTTGCTGTGGTGTAAATGCCTGAAAAATATCCTTTCAATATTTGTTAATTGAGAAATATATGTAATTGATTTAAAGTTCTATCAAAACCATTTTGGTTTTTACGACTTTATGTTAATGACAGTATTTAATTTGTAATTTGGGGCCATAGTTGGAAATTGTACGTTCAATAAAGTTCAAACTCCCATGGCCGGTTGAGCAGCAGATTCAAAGGCCTCCCATACACAAAATTCATTAAGCCTTTTTGATCAGCCAAACGTTACAGCGTCGAATTAAACCATGGTGAAAAATTTGGCAGTCAAAACTCAGTCGAAAATTCAGCATGTAATTACCAGGGCAGAAAAGAATATAAATATCAATACCGTGACATGTGCGCGTGACGAACAAATGAAATTCGGGGGCGAAAAGAGAGCTTCTCTCAAATTTAAGCGCGCGCCTTTGAACAGGGTCAATGGAGGTTTGATTGCAAATTGTGTTGCGGCACAATGGAGAACGCGCTCATTGTGATGCGCGCCGTCGCTTTTCGCATGATAATGTGCACATTGTGAGAGGCAACGGCATCCGAATCGAGTATCATCAACGTCCGACATCGACTGCCATATCAAACGCCACTATGACAAGCTCGTGATCTCCGAGAGCGTGTTATCGGCGCGTGCTGCGTCAGATACTCGCGTCAAATTAGATTTTGCCACAAACCCTTTTTCACCCGCCAAGCTAAAAGGGGTCCACAGATTTCACCTTTTTATCTTATCATGCGCATATCCAAATAAAACGTGCTTTCTACTTTAAATGAAGTTTAACTCGTATGAAAAAATATTAAAAAAAAAATTGATCATTTTCTTTAAACAGCGATTTTCCCTGGTGATCGTGAGCTATAAAAGCGATAATTTGATGGCAAGTTGATTTTTCAAAGATAAATTAATTTGCTTTATCAAAAGCCGAAGGCGTAATAATATTCTTAATAACGCACTCAAGACTCTATGATATTATTTGCGGAAATAAATTTAATTTTAACCGAAAAAAAATATTTAAAAATTTTTTTGCACGCATATTTTTGTTTGTATAAAAAAAATGTTTTTAAATTTTCACACACGACTCCATTATAGAGGAGATAATTATTGTTGGAGTTTTTACAAGAAACAAATTTTATATCAGAATACATAAAAAAATGATGTATTTTTAACAGTGGCGGTTCAAATATGTTCAGGCACTGAAAAACGAAGTGAGCAGTTGAAATAATATTAAGTATACTCTGTTATTATCAAATGGCAATAAAATTTCAATAAAAATACATATTTCATCTCGAAGTATATGCGGAAATTAAAACTCCGTGCAACCAAACCGCAGCAAAATTAATATTTTTATACCAATTTTTTGCCCTCAGGATTCATGCAAAAATTTCAAACTGCAATTCTAATTAATATCATTTTTTTACATGAAAAGCACAACTACCAAATTAACTTAACGTGTTTTTGTTGGGTACCTTTAATCAAACTTTTATTATTGTTTATTTTTTTCCACATTGTTTCAATACATTGTTTACATTCAATTTTTGATTTCAAACAATTTATTTGCAAAAATATTGTTGGTTTTGTGATTTTATAATTATTAATGTGCGTGATTCGCTCACTTTGTGTTTGCCATTTCACTATGCGAAATGGTTTGGCATAACAAAAGGTCGTGAATTGATAGCCGCGGGTGCGGATCCGAAGCGCAAATGGAGCTCATCACCATTAGAGCCGCAAAAGCTGTGCGCTTTCCCATCGATCACGCTCTCATTTGACTGGCGATGATTACACTTCCACTTGGCGCACAAGAAAAACACTGACAGTTGGCGCGTGTTTCGGATGTGAATGAGCACATTTCGCAGTGCACGGCTGCAGACGCTTTTGCATTCAGGGCGGCGCAAAAATCAATCAGGCGTGGAGGTGTCGCGCGCACAGTCGAGGCTCAAGACGCGGTCGACCCTGCCCTGCGTGCATTATAATGGAGTTGCCGCACCGACGAATACATAAATTCAAAAGCGACACACATCCGAGGTAGGCCAGTGACGCGCACGCGGCTGATTGATTGATGGCAAACATCTCTCGTCACTCCGCCGTCTCGAATTATGTGAGCCTCTTAGCTATTCAGAAAGTTACACAGGCAAAGTTAAATTGCCTTTGTCGCAGGCGATGACATTTTTTATCGGGGCTCAAGACTTTTCAAACAAGTGGGATTATTTTTCAATCTACTTTTTTAAGCCGAAAGAATATAATATATTCGCCTAACGGGAAACGTGACTTGCGACATTGGCGAGGGGATGCGACGATTTTAAATTCGAATTATGTTCTCCTGCTTGCCTGCACGGATCGTAAAAATTGTATGGAGATGTTGAAGGGAGATCCACAATGTTGAATTGAGCCAACTTTTTTCCAGCCTGACTTCTTCATTTCCAAATTAAAAAAAGTTTTTCAAAAATATCATCTAACACTAATAAGCTTTGTGATCATCATTTTATATTTTGGATTAACTTCATATTAATTTGGTACATGTATTATTTTAAAACAGTTTATATGTACTATCCACTTTAAATTTTAATCTACCCAAATGTTAAAATAAAAATTATCCTCAGAGCAATCAATTTTTTTAAATTTATTTGTTTATTCTCCATTTTTTAACTTATTATAATTATAATATTTTTCCATGTTTATCCTTTATCTGCAAAAAAAATAAAGATGATCAAATCAAATATTTAGGGTGATGAAGAGCCGCCAGTGAACCCCACGTTCTCAAACATTCACCATTTAGCATCTTGTTCTTTAAATTGGATGAAAATTCAGCATCCAATTTATTACTTTATTTTGTGAATCCGCCTCTCCATTCAACATCTCTGCTGGTAAAATTACCATGAAAAGGGTTTTGGTGCAGTTTTATTTTTGAGAGTGTCATTTTCTTTGCGGCGATTACCGGGCTGGAGAGGCGCTTTAACGACTCTGGTGCTTTTCCCGACTTGGGAAATCTGTTCGCGAAGCCCAATTTCATTACTTCTCCATCGGCGCGCGCTCTCCTTTTCTTCCCGCCAAATAAAAAGCAAGAGCGCATTGTGTTGTTTGGGAGTGGAATAAAAAACAGCGGCAATTTTCGTTCCTCTCAACGAAGGAAAAAAAATTTCATTCGGCCAAATGAGCAAAGCAGCAATGAAATTTCACGGCACACAGGCCTTCTCTCGCAGTTTAAGAGTGGTACTTGAAAGACTTAACACAATGAGAGAGACCGGATTTCTTTGCCGAGTGCGGCGCGGGGCTGCGCCAAAATTTGCATTTTACGCGCCCCACACAATAGCGGCCGCCGCTTTTGAAGTGCACTCCTGCTTGACCCATTCATCACTCCACACAACTGCCACGAGTGCAATTTTTTCTCTTCTGTTAAATCCGCTCTGTCATCTGCTGGTGTGAGAACAACGGCTACTATAAGGTTGCTGACAAGAAAATTGGGCCTCATGAATTCCTCAATTTTTCTCATAACTTTGGAGGCAATTTTCAATTGTGATATTCAATTGTGGCATTAATTTTTTCTTTCCGTGTTTCTTCAGATATTTTACCAGACACAAATTTAAACGAAATTCCTTTTTAATTCAATAAAAATTTAAGGAATTTTTAGTGATACAAATAATATGCATCAAAATTCATTGGGCTAATTTTTTAGCTACATATTAACTTGCTTATTTGACGGTAAAGTTTTTTTCTGTTTTTTGAATGAGGTGAATAGTTTGATAAAAAATAATTAGCTGGCGTCATTAGATCATGGAATGGATTTGACTGATATTTATTGTAATGAAAATTTAAATTATTTTACGTTTTAAACTTGAAATTTTATCAATAAAATCAATGCTCTAATTTTATGTTACTTAAAATATTATATTTACTCAAATTAGTGAAGAGTTATTTTAAGAAAGGGGGAAAACCAAATAATAAAACACTCGTGAACTTTTGAGTACCCGGAAATGGTTGCGTTTATACTGAAGCGGCCACGCACACAAGTGGTGCTTTATATTTGTGCCATAAAATAAGCGTACATAAATCATACTTGATTGAAAAACTGGCTGTTTTGCGTGAACCAGTCTAATTTTGCGCCAAGTGAGCAAACACAATAAACAAAAAGTATTAATTAGCGTGCCTTCTCATGCGTGCTTAATATAAAAATCGAGTTTGGCTTTTTTGCATTGAAAGCTTTTGAGGAGAGAGAAAAAGAGACAAAACCATACATTTTCACATTCAGCGTTAAATTTCAATTAGCAAGAGTTTTTGTTGTCTGGCTTCAATCAGCAAATAAAGTTTTGCGGAAAACAATGAAAAAAAATCGCTTGAAATTATATTGTGATGCAAATTTAACGATTTTTAGAATTGGCTGAAACACAATGTGTGTGTTTTGCCGTTTGTTTTGCACAAATGAGCAAAAACCGAATTTGAATACATACGTTTTGCTTTTGGCTGCGGCGTGAATATTCATTAAGAGCAACAACAACAAACGAACCGGAGTGCAGAGGATCCAGCAGCACCACATAAAACGATTGTGTTCGGCCATGCAGTGCGTGAGTCGGCGGCCGTCCCTCTAATACAGACCGTTGCAAAATCCGTTGAGCAAACAGTCCGAAATAATATATTATGTGTAGTCGGCGGCGGTGTGTTTGTGGGTGCAGCAGATAAAACGCGCCACGCGTGCAAAAACAAGTCCGATCCTTTGCCGATTGTTCTGGGCGCATCGGGTAGCACACAGGGAAGTGTTAGAAAATACGTTTCGATCCAACAGAATTAAACAAAATTAAAATAAATTACCAGCTCAAATAAGAAAATTTGGCCAAGTAAAAAAGATGAGATTTGCTCTGTGATGATCGGAGCCATCACACAGATAATTGATAGAAAATATTTTAACGTTACTATTGTGTAAGAAAAAAATATGCATAATATATAATAATACCAAGGAATTGAAATAAGTGTGCACTGCTCTTTTGAAATAATACTTACAATTAATGAAATAAATGTTTTAATTTGAATTGCAACAATTTCAAGAACGATTCTCTTTTAAAGTCATATTCTCATATTATATAATAATGTTGTTGTGTAACACTTTTATTCTCTTTGCCGCACTCGTCCTATTGGTCCATATAAATATTCTCCAAATTTGAGTTTTTATTTGTTATGATTATAACAAGAACAAGTTGAAACCACAAGATTTGAAAAATAAATCATTTTGGATGGTATAAGTCAATCTTCAAAATAATTCTATATACTCGATTATTCATAAATAATAATTATTTATCATACACAATTATTTACCAAACCTACAATGAATCATGCATAATATTTTTATTTAATTTAAATTTATTTGCAACAACAGAATAGGTTCAAGAATATGTTGAAGTAAAAAAGTTTATTCTATTTTTGTTATAGTCCAGCTTTATTTTACTTTGACATATCTGTAATAACTAAACAAACTAAAGAGACACAGGAAAAGTAATTTTATATCATGTAATTCGTCTAAAAAATTTTATAATTCAAGCAACACAATTTCTTTCAACAATCTGAAGAACAGCTGAAGATAAATCAATATTGAACTATGTTGTATTAAAGAAAATTGGCTTAATTATTGATTATGTACTTGATATTGTTAAATATAATACCAAAAAGAGTCTAAAATTGTCTAATCAAAGAAATTTTTTAAATTTTAGGATATTTTATAAAAGCTGAATGGTTGGGGAAATTTGATATTCTTTACAACAAATAAAATTAGATTTAGAATTTTTCTAATTAAGCCACAATAAAATAAAATGTAATTCATACTCTTTTCAATCTAAAAGTTGGCGATTTTTATTACAAACAGGCTATAAAAAGATGAAATTTGCAAATTAATGATCATTCCATCATGGCGTTTGTTATTGAATAAAGCTCCAAAGTACGACAAGCGTGATGTGAATTAGAGAGGCACTCATTGCGTTCAGAATGGAAGGTGAATTATTTATCTGCCGAGTACTCACTTCCCCGGCATTGTATTCGCGCATCAAATAAACAGTTCTATCTCTGCGGCAGAGAGCAGGGAAAGGCTTGCGCCGCCTCTCTCGCTCATCAGCAGCGTGCGGAGAGGGCCAAATTAATCAACAAAGTTGGCTCGCAGCTCTCTCTCGCACTCACTCACAGCAAATCATTAAATTAAAACGGCGAAGCTGTTGACGCCGTTGCGCGGGGACTAAATATTTTAACACGTGCAGAGGCGAGCGTAGGCGCAGGGGCTGATCTTGTTACTCTGGCCGTTAAATCGCATCCCCCGGGTCGGCTCCCTAGCTCTCTCTGGAGCACCGGAGTGCGAGAGAGAGAGAGAGGTCGTTCGTAATGATTAGGGGATTAGAAATAGTTTGGCGCCACCCAAATTAATCGATCCGAGCCTCGTTTGCTTTCACGCCTCGTCCCTTGCACGTTTCCTTGATTGTACCAAAGCTCGGCGCCTTCTTTGGCACCCGAATGCATATTTTTTTTATTGAAGGCCTTAAAGGGGATGGAGCCTTAAACTCGAACTGATTCATATTTTAATGTTCGAATTTGTAATATTTTTCCTTATGTAATTGCCCGATTGTGTGTTTCCAGACCAAGTTGACTTGTGGACCCAAGAGAGCACAGGCTGCAGGTGTCCCTTTGATGCAAGTCGAAGCGACTGTGCGTGTTGCGTGCCTCAATCAGGCTGCCATTGTGGCGAGTCCTCACCTAATAGGTGTCAGCAATGTGGACTAGAGAAATACTGCTCAAACAGTAAGTATTAAGTTTCCTAGGTTTCTTTCAAATTTCCGAAACCCTGAGAATTAAATTTAGGCAAATTTAAACAAAATATTGAATTTTTTAATCAAGAGATGAATATTGAAATTGATTGAATTTATTTAATTTAATTATTTCCATGTTTAATTGATATGTTAAAATCAAATATTCTATTAGTTAAAACAAATTACTTACATTGACCTCAGTTTCTGAACCCACGTTAAAATTCTTTTGAAAATTTTGACAATATTACCTCTTAATCTTTAAAACTCTTCAATGATTTACAAAAATTCAAATAAATTGCAAATCCAGAACGTTTCAAAGTATTACGTATAATTTACAATTTTTTATTACACAATATTTTCGCTATAATTCTTGCAAAATTTATGCCATTGTGGGAGTCTGCGGCGAGTTGCAATTTGTATAAAGTTATGCGCATATACGCGTCCAAAACACATTCAAGAGTTGAAGCTGCTTTTATTACACGCTACATTTCTCGCACACATTTACCAAGTGCTCATTCTCGGCGGCAATAAAATATGACAAAGCGTGCAGAAGAGTTATAAAATAAGGATTACGGTCGTAATCCATGACGTCTGAGATTCATTCATTCCCTGCTCTCGGCACCGCGTGTGGGTGATAAAGTGCTGCTCTGTAATTATTAGACCGAAAGTGATATCATATACGCGCTTTAGAGGCCTCGGATCTGGCAGATTGCGGCGGCATCCCAACAAGTCCTTTAATGCTCATTGGATCTGCCTGAAACCAAACACGCCGAGGGTGTTGATAAGCCGTTTTGATTAACTTTTAGTTATAAGTCAAACAAGTCTAAGGGTTTTAATTATTTTTGTGTGATTTATTGATCAGCACTAATTTCCCACAGGATTGAAATACATCTTGCGGGAAAATTTGAATGATGAAACAGTGACGCATATGCCAGCGAAAATAATGAGAGCAAAAAATAAAGTTGTAAAAAATCACCACCAAAAAAAGGCATAGGCCAAAAATAATTTTTTGCTTGGCACGACCCTAAAATAAATTATTAATGTCTTAATTTTGACATGGGCCATATCATGAATTTTCTCATTTTTAAAAATAACTTTTTTTTAATTTGTAAAAATCATCCATTAAAATAAGATTTGTTTCCATAAATTATATATTTCCTGCTGTTACAGGATTTTTTGTATTTCATTTCCTTTTTCATGCATGTGCGCTCCATTCGCTGCCACATTGAAGATTCAGCGTTTTGTAAGAATAAATTTGCCCACTTTTCTAACTTTTCTTGAATGAGCTAATTTCAATTCAAATGGGGGAAGTATATTCTAATGGTATTCAGCCAGCCTCGGTAATCAAACTGCAGCGCCCAAGTCTTCTTTTTTTTTGCATACACGCCATTGTAACAAGGTAGCTCGCGTCGTCGTCTTTATTCTTTATGAAAAAACTTTGCGGGCAAAAAAAGGCCGTGCTAGCAAGTTATATTAGCAGACGAATGGCTCCTGCTCCCTCTCTGTGGCAAAAAATTACCTGTGTGTTTCTGTGCTTGTTACAGTGTGTAACATAACTTTGGACGCGAGAACCCTGCAGGCGCGCTCGAACAAGACTTTCGGCCAAATCAAGTCGCCGGCCATGGAGGGACCCTCCTTCTGCTGGTACCTGCTGCAGCCTGGCAAAGGTCAACGCGTCGAGGTGCAGATTTACAGACTGAAGGCCGTCGGCCGCTTCAACGGAACTAGGTGAGAATATTTATGAGGCTTAGCGAATGCAAATCTTGGGAATAGTTAGTTGGTTCGCTTGCTGCGCAAGACAGGATTAGAATTGTTACTTAATGGGCCAGGCAAATGTATGCACGGCGCATTTCTCCGAGAGGAATTTGCATTGCAGCAAGCTGAAGGGAGGCTCTTCACCTCCTCTTCAAACTCCAGTTTAATATCAAAGTCGGCATTAAGAAAATTATATCAGACATTGAACGTAGACGAGTGTATAGAATCTATGTCGAAGGGCGTCACAGGGGAATCTGATATATAGCAATTTATTTTAAATTAAGAATATTTTAAATAAACAGCAAATCAGATGACTTTGTGGTTAAAATTTTTTATTTGAAACGACTCAATAAGCGCAAGGAATCTTCTCAAAACGGCAAAATCCTACACTTTTGTACCACAATGAACATTGTGATAACAAGAAAATTTTAAATATTATTTAGATTTAACCTTATTTAATTAAAAGAAATTAAAAACTTGGATACATCAAAGACACTTAGTTTCATAGAATTTAGTTGGTTCTTAAACTACCCAAAATTTGGAAATGGCGAAGCAAAATATAGCAATGATTTCATATTTTCCATTTCAAATTGAAAAACGAAATATGCAATTTTGAATTTCAAAATATTTACCTCTACCAAAAAAGCTTCTAGGAAGGTTGAGTGGTATATTTGAATAAAAAGGCGATGTATAAACTCATAACGACTCAAACTTCTCCCTTGACAATTTTCACTGGATTAGAGCCTGGCCGTCCGATTCAAAGCGCGTGAAACGGGATTGAGGTTCTAAATTTTAATAAAAACGTCATTCCAGCCGCGTGCAAAATTCTCATCAGTGCCGGCGCGTGTTGCGACATTCAAAAAAGGGTGTCATAAAATATGAACACCTGCCTGCTGGCAGTTTTTTGTTGTTTCGGGCGTTTCGCACTCCGCCCTTGCTCGCTCGCCCACGCTCCAAAAAACCAACAATAATAAAAAGGGCATCACGAGGAAATGTGTTCGACCGCCATGACAAATGCCTGCTATCCGTTTCAATCTGCGAGATGAGAGCGTTTTTGATCTGACACCAAGGCAAATATTTCAGCTGTCACGGCGGTTTTGTTCAGCTGGTGGATGGAACTGACATGACTGCAAAACCCACCGACATCCAGTTGTGCGGCCAAAATGAGCGATACACCCCGCCGGCCGTCGTTTTTGCTGACCACGGCACTGCCACCCTGCTTTTCAGGTAAGATAACTCTAAAAATATTTTTCTATCAAGTTATGTTATTAATATTTGAATCAAACGCATCAGTGTGACGGTACAAAGGAAATAATAGATATAGAAAGATTTTTGCTAAGATAATCCCATCCTCAAATTTGTAATTTTAAAAGTTGGAATGTAAATGTGATAATATGGGTTACACTATTTATATTAAAATTTATTAACGTTCTAAAAAAAATTATCACTTATCGATACATGATAAGCAATAACATAATATTATTTAAATAATGCAAAATATCAAAGTCATTCGTTAATTGTTTTCACTTTTCATTTTAGGTTGGTGTAAGCTTTGATATTTTTAAACGAATTTATATGCATTTAAATCTTGAAAACAATTAATTATATCCAGATAAAACGTCACATCCAAAATAACTAAATAAATTTAAAATGAAAAATATTTCATAAAAATTAATTTTAAAGATGCTCTAAAGTTATTCCGCATTCAACTATCTGCAATATTTAAGAGAAGAGAGAAATTTAATTAAAATTAATTAATTAATTCTTGAATCATATATTTTGTACCTTTATACTGATTGAGAATGAAAATAGTCTCAACTACAGTTGAAAATCAACTCAAGTATTTTATATATTACGTTGTTGGCGAAACGCGCCGAGTTGACCAAATGCATAGATAATTTTCCAAATATTTGTGTATTTTGTAATCAAACAATCAGATCATAAACTCTTTGTGGTAGATTTAGGTAACCAATTCCATTTTCTTTAATAAACATTATAGACTCGCAAAATATGAATATTTTAGTTGCAAATTGTGTTTAATTGTGGTTTAATACAACCATAAAAGCTTCTTCAAATATTTAAAAGAAAATTTTCCTTCAAAAACAACGACTAAAAGTCTGTAGATAGCAAGAGCGAAGAACACTTGCTCACATCAAACAGAGTTAACCCAAGGGAATCAAAGCACCAATTTCGCTGCGAAAACGCTATTTTTTGCTCAAGCGAGAGAAAAGCCCTCTTTTCCTAAGCCAGGCACAATCTAGGCCGAAAAATAAGCGCCACTCTCTGCTTTGAATGGCGCTTTTTGCGCGGGTCTAGAATGAAGTCGGCAGCATGAAAAATCAAGTTCGCGCATACAATCTCGTCTCGTGTAGCACTTGACAAAGAACACAAAAAAATCTTATCGCCGCGGCTGATGGCGATTATTCATGCTGACTAGGGCTGAATATTCATTGTCAGGTACACCCACCGCACGGAACGGCGTTATCAGCAAATTCCAAATTGTATGCAAATCAAAGCCAAGAACTCCGTCTGCCTGCACGTGAAAGTGAGTCGGACGCTTTTTGTGCGTCTCATGCCGCGTGATATTCAGCTATTTCCCAACGGTTCGATTTGAATTATTTCCTTCCGTCGACAAAATGTTCAATGGAGATGAAATTTCTGTGGGAACAATGCCTCAAATCAGTCAAATTCCAATGACTAAATATCTCAAATTCAACGTACATGCGATGTGGAAGGAAGGAATGTAATAGGCTTTTGATAATGTTCAGATGGTTCCACGTGAAAAGGCTTAAGACTGAAATATACATTAAATATGGAAATTGTAGCCCTCTGAATCTAATTATTGGGATCAAATTGATTCCATGTTTTCTGACCTACCAACGCCAAATCATGCGAATTTTAAATAATTTTGAGTCGTGAACTTCAGATTATTGGGCAGATTTATAATATAATATCTGTACGTTCATTGATTTTAAATCCAAAAACTTGTTCAGACCTGTTAGAAAAGTCAAAATCAACTGTTTTTTGTATCCTAAATTTAATATTTTTAATTTATTGGTGTTTGGATATTAAAATCGTTGTTAATAGTTACATGGGTTTTTAAATGATACTAACTCTAAATTTTTTTTTCATAATTTATGTCTTTTGCTGTATTTATTTAAAATGAATTTAAATATGTACACTTAAAAAACTAAATTTTATTTTTTTACTTACAGACTAGGTATTTATAAATATTATGCAAATACGATTTTAAATAAAATTTCCCTTCCTTATTTTTTTTTTAAATTAGAATAAATGAGCAAAGAGCAAATTATTTGAAATCCAGATGGATGAAAATATAAATTTCAAAGTATTTTTACCGTTTATATTTGTGTTAGTAGTTTTGTTTCTGATTTAACTTGATCTGGATAAAAAGGGTTGAGAGGGTTTTTATAGAAAGGTCAGCACATATATCAAGCAAAGGAAAGATGGGGAGGAATCGTGGTCGAGAGGAAACACCCAAAGCCTCGCTATCTTCTCATTTCGGCGAGCGCCAGATTGCTGACACAATAATTTCGCGAGCCAGCGGCGGCAATAAAAATAGCAGCTTCTTCCTTTCACGCGCCACAAACAAGGAGTGAAAAACGGGCCGAGTCACTTTCTGTTATGGGGTGTTAAGTATGATTTAAACCGTGGTGTTTATAACCGTGTAAATAAATATCAGGCTTCGCCATCAATTTTTGTTCGCAACAAACGCGGCGGCGCCACGGCGACTGCCAAGAGCCCTCGGGCGGCGCCACACAGACCATCTTTAAACGCCATCTTTTGCAGTATCAATTTCTCATCTCCCTTGGTGGTAGTGGTGTGTGTGTCGTCTTGAATTTCCACCCTGCGTTTGATTGCTTTTCGCCGCTGCCAAGCGGCACCAAGGGCTCTTTCTCTGCGACGGACGCGGCCGCAATTGGATTTTGCTGCGAGTGGACAGGCGGCCCGAATTGATCTTGACAACAAGGGCTCAAAGTTTATCCGCGCCTCCAGAAATTTCCTGAGAAGAATTGAGCAAAGTCACCGTGAAAACATCTCTGTACAAGTGGGAGGGATCTTTTTTGCCAAACAAACGGGGAGAAAATAGTAAGAAAATATGAAAGATGATTTGAAAATAAGTCTCAAGTTTTCCAATCCTCGGATTGAACGGGTCGAGGAACACTTCCTGAAATCAATGTTTGGGGTCAAACACGTCAAACAGATACTCCTAATATTTTTTTCCCCGAAAGGAATGTTTCATTTAAGGATAATAAGTGGGAGAAAAATTTAAGATTTGCCAGACAGATTAATTTGCTATTAATAATTTTTTTAAATATTTATTACATATCTTATAATATGAATTAATATTTATTTATTTACATGGTTTTGGATGTTCATCTATGCACAATTGCAAAATGTGGCCACAGGAATCAATTGCTAAGACCATAACTTGAAATTTTTTCATCAAGCGAACTATTTAGTTGGAATTTGGAAATTAATTGCTATTTTTAGTGTTTTTGTTTTTATTAAGTATCATATATTGTAGCAATTTTTATGGCTTTCATTTTGTATACTCACTTTCCATCTTTGTGTAGGTTATTCTCGTTTTCTTCAGAAAAGTCAGTCGCAATAATTTTGCGACGGCTGCACATTTGCCGACGAAAGCGATATCTGCTCTCTCAGGCGCTTTCTGAGTTCAGTGAGCAAGAAATGATCGGGGTTAAGTGGAGTGGAGCTCATCATTTCGATCAAGTGCGCCAGGAAATTCATTATTGGGGCCGCTTTCGTAATTGGAAACCGTCGGTAATTATACGGCCGTGTTACATCAAGGAGGCAATCTCAGCGTCTCGCGGAATAAAACACTTTTTGCGCGTAAAATCACGTTAAAGGAAATTAGTTCTGAGATGAGAGATGAAGACGCGCACTTCAAACTTTTCAATCAAGGCGCATTTCGCGCAGCTCAAATATTTAGATTGGAAACTTTTGCATGTGGAAATAAATTTTCGCTTTGGTCAGTGTTTCAGAGTCGACGGAACGGTCGCAGTTTTTGGCCTACTTCAGCTTCACCCCGATTGACCACCCACACGTCGGTCTGCAGCCACGAGGCGGCCAAAGGGTGGAGCACACAGGTGAAATTCTTGCTCGCTTGCATGTTCCAAATTCCTCTCTCATTAAATTCCCTTCGTTTGCTTTTGCTGTCTCTCGTAACGAGGGGCCGTTTAATTGGATGCAAATTAGCTTTGTTGATTCACCGTTCGTGTCGAGGACCGTTTTAATTAGGCCGGCCTTTGATATATACGTATATATTGGCACCGGAGACCAAAAATAGCAGCACACCTCGCTAACGCTTTTGGTTTAGCTCTCAAAGAGGAAGGGATTTTTATTCGCTGTTTTTTTCCAGCAAGGCAGCTACGAGGAAAGGCCTCCGTTTTTTTTTCTGAAAAATGAAACTTTTTTGAAAAGAAAAAGATAATGACGGTGGTGTGTTTCTAAAAGTTTGTTGAACAACTTGCAGGCCTTTAGGGCTTTTATGATGGAAATGAATTTATCACTGTATTTGCAGTGAGCAAAGCTCATTTGCATTTTACCAGATATTTTTTTTTAAATCAGCGCTACTGCATGCAAATTTTTAAAAGTTTTTCTTTATTATTAGATGAGTTTATTGTCTGAAATTCGAACGCAGCGCGCTCCTCGTCAGAGTTGTGCAGGTTGCATATAGAGGCAGGCGTTAATTTGAATTTGACTTGTGGATTTGCATTTACATCGCCTCACTTCCCTCGGGTTTATTCTGCGACAACTTGCATCTAATGCTTCGGAAATTGAGTAAACTTGATGCAAAGGAGCTCAAGTGATTTGTTTGCTGTCGCTCGTAGAGCGACACATTGAAACAAACAGGTTGTGAGAAGAAACAAGACGTGAGCTCCTGTTGCGATAAAATTGCTCCACGCTTTTCACTTTGTGCAAGCGCATTGTCTCCGATCTAATGGGTTTCCTATTATGAGAATCTCGTATAGCACAATGGGTAACTTTATCAGTCATCTCTGCCTTAAGTCCTTTAACTAAAATAGATTCTGACTTTCAACGATTCGCGTTGTTGTGTTTCTCATTTTATAAATATATGTTCGCTTACTTTAAGATATCCTGAAAAATGTATATGTAGGGTTCAAAATTCAGAAATAAAAATAGATTTCCCTTGACCCAAATTTGAAATTAATCATCAAAGTTTTTATTACTATTTTATTATTATTTATTGTTCTCAGTCGATACAAAAAATTGAAATTTAAAAAGAGAATAAAGGTTTCATAATTAATTGTATTATAGTTTAAAAAAAATAATAATAAAAAGACTACTAAACAGCTACTAAAGGCACCAGCTCAGCTAATATAAGATTTTTACTTAAATTTTCAACTAATGATGCTTCCAATTTTAAATAAATTTATCCTTGGAAATCAATTCATAGGATTTAATGTACCCAATAAATCATTGTATTTAAGTAAATTATATTGAATTATATTATTTAATCAAACCCAAAAAATATATTCATATGATTCTTAAAGATTTAACGATCATTTAAATCAAATTATTATTATTTTATTTTATTACTTGTTAAAATATTGCTCTTCTTGAATTAAACAAAATCTGTCTATTTAAAACGCCCAAGCAGATCATTTGGTACTGAAAAAAAATACGCGTGCAGATTTTCCAGGCAGCTGCGCTTTCCGCTCTGTTTGGCATTGCATCATTTCTCGCTAAAAGAATAGATGCGAAGGAAAAATTGCACGCATTCTTCTTTGTGCAAATTAACTTCTAAATTCATCAATTTACCTGAGTGGCTAATTTGCAGAGTGCGACTGGCTGTACCAGGACTACGCGTGCAGAGACGCCCGCTCCTGTTTGCTGGCCAGCCCCGGCTACCCCGGCGTGTATCCACCGAACCGATTGTGCAAGTACCTCATCACGACCAGCTCGATTCACACCAGGATCCACATCGGATTCATTAATCTGCTTCTGCCATACAAGTGAGTTTCACATTTAAAAGCAGGCATAGAATTGCAATTGCGGGATTCATCTGAAAAGTTAATTTTCTGCTGCTTCCGAGAAACATTTCACGAGATGAAATTCTGTTTTTTGTTTTTCTGCAAATTGTTTTATGTCTTTCGTTTGCCATTTGGCGCAGAAGTCGATTTAAAAAGTCGCAATTTTCCGCCCACAGAAAATTCATTAGAGTGTTGCGCTCAGAAAAAGCTATCAGTGAAAATTTTCCTTCCTTGGTAATATTAGAAGAGGATCCAAAATAAATAAAAAAAACTTCTTCCCGCTGTTTCTGAGTGAGTAACTCCGGCGAGCCATAAGAGAGAATATCGCGTAGGCTCTGCGCCGCAAACCCAATATACGGCTGCCAAATTCAATAAACTTTTATTTTGACAGACAGCAGATATAAAACCCGCGTATATTCGTCGTGGCAATTTTCCATCGCGTAATAAGGTCTGAAGAATGTGTTATTTTATCGACCTTATTTGCCGAGCAGCTGGAAATGATCTCAAGGGTATTGAATTAAGAAACTTTTCCGGCACGCACACGGTCGCCTCGCACTTATCGTAATGGCACGGCAATTCCGGAAATGGATCCACCTCGTGATTCAGAACGACCACACCACACTGACTTCGGCCAGTTTTGTCTCAATTTATTGCAAAAAGTTTATCCAATGTGGGAAATTACGAATTTTTTTCAAATTAAAATAGAATCGAATTTGCTGAATTTTTAAAGTAAAAAATTCTCCTCTTGAATTCAAGATAAAGTTCTCAAGCGTGTTGAAAGAGCCGTTTAGAGATTCTTGGTCCATTGCCTCTGATTATTCGGAGCAGGCGAGGGGATGAGAATTCAGCCCAGAGCACAAAGCGCGGCCTCAAATTAGAATGGCAGAGGTGTGCCAATAATGCTGCAAGAGCTCGCACTATGAACGTTGAAAGGGGTCCGTGTTCCATTAAGGTGGCACTGGCGCTGAGTAGTTTTAATTACGCGCCCTCCCCTAAAATATGAGCTGCGGTTATCCTCATAAATCTAGCCCTACAGGCAACTTACTTTTATTAAACAACTTCACAAGCTTTTGCTGGATCTTGCATGTTTTCCAAAAAAGGAAGGTTGTTTTCCCTTAATTAAATTTTTTATTGTTTTTTACTTGTACGATGTACTAAATTATGTCAACTAGTGGTTATAATCAAATATGAAACGATGACAAAAGGATTTGATTGATTTGAATAATAAAAAGTAATTGCATTATTTATTTATATGATGTTATTCTAAAATTAATTTGAAATTTTCAATAACAGATTTTGCGTTTCTAGATAGCCAAAAGTACCCACGATTATTATCTTAAAAAAAAAATAATAATTTATTGCGATCAGATTGCGATGAAACAAAAATTTCAACGTACTTGCCATGATCATAAGGGCAATAAAGAATAAATTATGCTCAAAATATATTCGTAATTGTACTTATATTCCTTAATTATTGTGTTTTTTTTCCATTGTATCGAATAAATTAAAGTGAGTTATTCAAAAATCTAGTGAAGTAACATCTTAAGTAAGGTCTTATTTGCAAATATTTTCCGCACAGAACACAACAGCTTACAATTTTTTTGTTTTTAAGTATACAGTCTGGGAGCCAAAACTGAAGTTCATACTAAGCGATCTTATATCAGTCTATTGTGTTTGTAGTTGGGGAATTTGCAAGTTTTTCTGCTCGAACAACTACTCCAGAACTCATATTAATCAACGGAACTTCTAAACTTTCATCAGCCTCTTAGCGTCGGATCGTTAGGTTGCCGCTTCCTTCGTGAGACGATGGCTTGACAAATTTCGCAGCAAATTTGCAGCCGCAAACACACGCACACACACACCGCAAACTGTCAAGCCGGCTTTATTATTAACGTGTATAGTTCTGCAAATCCCCTTAGAGAGCGCGTGAATATACTTTTGCATTAGAGACGTTCGCGCCGCAGACCGCAGGCGCCGCGCGCCTCTTCGATCGATATATATTGCGGCGTCCATGTGCATTCAGTGTTGACGAAACGCTCACTGCCTACGGAGCCGAATCGCTTTTGAATTTGCATTTTTGACTGGATTATATTCCGCTGTACTAACAGATAAGATATGCGCTGTTTTGCTGGTTTGCAGTCACTGCGGCACAGACTACATCGCAGTCTACCAGGGCTCGACGTCTTCCGGCCCGCTCCAGACCACCATCTGCGGCAACAGGAAGGAGGAACTCAACTTCACAGGGCCAAACCTCCTACTTGAATTTAGGTGAATTTTTTTTTTTATTGAAATGCTGCTTTTTTATTTCAATTTTTAAAAAAATGTAACAAACTATTGGAAAAATATTAATTTATTTTGTTATCCATGCTCATTGCTTATTTATTAAATTTCAGTATTTAATCTGTTTGCATTTTACATTCAATTAGTTAGGTATTTAATCATCAATTGAAACATTATATTTCACATTAAAACTACACACACATTAACTAAATAAACTACGTATTTAATACAATATAATTATCTGATTTTTAGCTCTGGTCCGCCAATACCTCCCTATGACTATAATGGATTTGTTGCTTATTTGGAGTTCATTGACCTGAATGCAGAGGAATCTCACACAGAAACAACAGTCAAAGCTTCCCGAACAACCGAAGCTGGAATCATTGGCAAGCCCGGCACATTTTGTAAGGCTCCTTAATTTTTTTAACTTTTTTTATTTAAAAAAATGTTAATTATCAAGTTATTTGATTAATTCTTAATATTTTTTACAGATCATGAAGAAAGCACAATTCCAAGAAGGGTCCCGAACGCAAACTGCGATTTTGTTTTCTATGGTAACACAACTAGAAGTGGACATTTTGACACTCGTTCCACCATAGGCTGGCCGCATGACAAAGGCCCTGCAGTTTGCAGACTCACCTTTATTGGCAGAAAAGTTGATGTCATCCACGTATCACTATTCAATTATGACTTGAGGTATTAATTTATTTCTCATTATTAAATTTTTTTCTAAAAAGAAAACGATAATTTTTAAATTCAGAACATCAGACTGTGACTCGGCAATTGAAATCTTTGACGGTTCATCTAAAAAAGGCGCCAAACCAGTTCATAAGATTTGCAGTCCTGTTTCCAGACACGCCCGAGATCCAAACGGAAGGTAATAGATTCATCATTTCATAATTTTAAATTATTTTGGTTGGTTTTAAAAGATATTCTAGTTTAAATATTTACTGGGCAATTTTCAGATTCACTGATCAGGAATCATATTTATCATCTGGAAATATTTTAACAATTCTTGTGCGAATGGGCAAGCAAAGCCACAAAGAAGCACTTGATGGAGCTTTTGCTTTTCATGACGGTAATTTCCCATTTTTAAAATTTGTTTTTACCTAATTCTTAATTCTAATAAATATAAATTCACAGAGAAAATCGCAGGCACCCAGCGTCCAGACCTGCCATGTGCCGTTGAGTTTTTAGGCACCAAAAGTCCCCTCACTGGCGAGGTGAAAAATCCAGCCACTCAGCATATCTACTGGAACATTGAAGGTCCTCTGAATTGCTCACAAATCTTCAAGCCAAATTTTAACCAAAGCATTTCAATAAGCGTAAGTGTCTTCCTTTAAGAATGAGGGACCTTAAAGACATAATTGACTTATTTATTATTTATTTAAAAAATTATATAAATTTATAGGTCAATTCTATAAGCAAAAGCAGTGACTCCCACTGCAACACAAACTGTGAAGGAGACAGTGGCTGCGACTGTATTACTAATCTGATGTCCCTGGATCAAGTGGACCATCTGAAAATAATTGCTGCTGACACGGGGGTGCAACTTGCGTGCATCTGCGGAAGGCCAAGAGTAAGAACTTCATACTGAAAAAAAAAATAAAGAAAAAATGGATTTTGAAGACTTAAAAATAGCATTTTAAATTTTATTATTATTTAAATTGTCTTTAATGATTTGTAATTTAATTAAAAATTCTTAAACATACTTACTTTCAGGATAATTTTCTGCCTATATCAGTGCACAGTCTTGGTCCCTTGATGTTGGTCTACAGTGTAGCACACTACAGCTGGACAACGCAAGGATTCAACTACAAAGCTTCTTATCAGTTCACCTCAGATAGGGGTTGTGGCCCTCCTGTATACTTGGAAACATCCGGTACATCTATTTATATCCTCGCAGCTCAAATTTCAGTTGCAAAATTGCATTAAAATAAAATAGTTATGGGCAATGAACCAAATACCATAAAAAGCTATTTGATTATGGGTTTGAAATTTTTAGTTTTTCACAGTAAAAAAATAGTATTCTGGTGTTTATATTATGTTTTCCAAGGATTTTTTTATTAAATGAAACGATGCAAAATAAAAAAAATTTAAAAGCCTTCTATGTCTAATATAAATTTTAATCAGCTATTTTAAATTTATTATAAAAAGATAATTCAATTTTATTTTGCAGGTCTCATTGACTCGAGACAACTATCTGGATCTTTGTCAAATGGGAGGCATGCATTTAATTACTTCAAGTGTCTCTGGCTCTTGCAGTCCAACGTTGAGCGACAAATCACTATTGAAATGTCTACAATTCACAATCCAGGTTTACTAAATAACTAAAATTAATTATTTTTCCCGAAAAATTAATTTCATTTAAAAACTAGACTCGTGTGGCGCCTGGAATATTTCAATCCACAAGCCCAGCAAGAACGGCCTAGGTCCGAATCACAACGCCCTGCACACATTTTGCCCTGGTGAAAGGAGAAGACTGTACACCCTTCCATGGAAAGTGCATTCGGCCTATATTAGGTCAGTGAATTTTTTTAAATCCATTTTATTTAAAAATTTTTTTAATAGTTAAAAACCAAACCCAAATTAATTGGAAAAATGATCTTTTAAAATAAACAACAATAATTAAATTTTGTAACGCAATATATGTGATTTTCAGGTTAAATGCCCTTTCGAAGGTGCCAGGGCCACACTTCACTGTGCGGTGGAGTTCGAAAATTGTGACGGCCAACAATAGAGTGTCTGGCCCCAACGATGCTGCCGTCCACTCTGGTGGCGTCCGCTCCTCCCTTATGTGGCTCCTTCTTGGACTGGTCGCCCTTCTAATGCAGTGAATGAGAGTGTGGAAAGATGAGAACAAAAACTGTTTGTTTTGTGTGATCTACTGGTGTATGTGAAATAAAATAATTATTAGTTAGACTTGGAAAAGAATGACTGCCGCGGTGGAAAACAACCTTTGTAATTATGTGAATTGTTAATTCTGAAATCCACATAGAAAAACTAAGAAGAAAATATTAAATTTGTTGTCAAGACTTAAATGGATATTTTAATAACTTTCTTTAGCAACAGTCATATTTAGAGATATTGAGAGATATACCGTAATAATATGCTGAAAAAAATGCAGGGCCATATGAGCGAAATTAATTCAATTTTTTTCCAGCGAAAATACATCTCTTGGTCTGTCAGGACTGCAAGTTAAATAATTATAAAATTCCCTTTAATAAAGAAAATAATTAAATAATTCTTAGTCTAACAGGCACTATGAAAAATATAGTTTGCAGAGAAGCTTGTAAATTTTAACTGCATTTTGTTTCATTCCAAAAATTTAATAAGGCGTTTTGATTTTTATGCTTTTTTGTTCTCAAATTTAAATCTCGGCGGATACGAATGTTCATGAAGCGTAAGGATTAAAAAAAGTGGCATTGACGCGTTTGAAGATTATCTTTCATCGCGCAAATTCCCAATTTAAATTCAATCTAAACTCCTCTGATTGTGAGTGACTGTTGAGTCAAACTTTGGCGCCGAATTAGCCTGGGCGAGAAGAGGAAAATGTACACAATAGACCCGGAAACCCTCTATCTGCACTGAGAAGAAAGAAAATCACTCTCTCTTCCCCACTAATTAAATTCCGCGGCCAAGTTTTGATTTTATTACCGCCTCTTTCTTTTGTCACAATCGACAACGGAAATTTCCAAGGAGACCGTGGACGCGCAAGTCTCTCGTCAAACAAACAACCAAAGTTTCGCTCGCTGCCCCGAAACGACCCCCACGTTGATTCCAGGAGAGACCTGCAGGTTGGGATCAGAACGAGGCTCGTGACCAGAAAGCGAAATATCTCCACGACCGCGATTATTTAGCATTAGCAGCGCGGAAATATGCGCCACACAGCCCCTTTCTTTAGTCACATTTGACATTCTAGCCCCAGTTTCCAGCGTGGCATGTCTCATCCCTTGACTCAACTGACCTCACATGAGAATAATCCGTCTCCATAATTAATTTAACACAATCTGACTATCCACGAACGCCAATTCAGCAGGTTTAATTTTGCAAAATGAGCAGCAGAGATTTTTACTCAAATAATAGCTACATAGTAGAACGTTTAAATTAAATAAAATTTTATATAAATTTGATCTTTTTATAGATATGTGACAACAACAAAATTAGTTCCTGTTACGCAATTTATTTATGAAACAAGGAATTATTTTTAAAGCAATTGTTTCAATAACAAATCTGATTGTTTCACGCTTCGTCTCCTTGTCAAAAGGTGTCTTTTTGATTGAGCATTTACTTATTTATTTATTTTTACTCCATTCATGGTACATACAACGCAAAAAAGGTTCACTGTAAAAAAAAAAAGCGGCATCATGCATCGACATTAAAAAGTACAAACATACGAAAAAATACAGGAATCAAAAATTTTTGTATAATGCTGGAAATACATTAGAATTATGATTAAACATACACACAAAGAAAAAAAATGTGGTATCGAATGGAGAAATGGCTTTTCGCTAGCAAACAACTTGCTAACCCTCTCCTTCGAAAGAGAGTATATCGGGCCGCTTACATTAAAGTGACAGACAAGTGTCGTGTTTTTTGGCAGCTGATTCAAATGGTATGTTATTATTATTTATTCTTCTCGATGTATTTAAAAATCATCAACACTAATTATAAATTTAAGTATACTCTATACATGCAAAATCCTCCGTATATTTCGGATCTCTTTTAGTTTTCTATTGTTGTATAAATTTTTTATTCTCTGCAAAATCACCATGATCAACAATTGTTAATTAATGCGCGATTTTATTTTAAAATTAAATTCTAGATCTTGTAGCGGTAAAAAATTACTCAGAAACTTGGTGTTCCTCAAACAAGGGCATTGCCAAGATTCGAATGGAGACTCGGGGATGGAGAAACTAATTACAAAAGCAGGACGAAAATAAATAACAAAGGAATTTAATGGAAGGAGGCGCGCGTACTCTGCAAGAAAGGGAAAGCGAGAGAACACGCCGGCCGAGTGCGCCACGGAGATTATTTAATTTATCACTCGACAACTATCATCAAAGAAAGAGGAAATTAGCAAAGGGAAACGCGCGCGCCCGGCCTCCCCAATTAAGCGGCGTGGGATCAAGATGTTTCAGGGGCGTCTTTTTTCAAGCAAAATTCATTCAAAAATCATTAAAATTATACTGTTGAAAGTATTTGTTGTTATTGTGAGGATTACTCAAACATGTAAATGCTTTTTATGGCAAAATTTTCACTGGTGTTTTTCAAATTTAAAAAAAGATCACTTAAATTATTCTCACAATGATTATAGTATAAGAACAGTAAAAAACGTCAACATTTTTAGGAGACAACAAAGCAATAATACGGAAGCACGTTTTGTGCGTTTTGAAAATTTTATTTGCTCTCCGCCGGCGCAGTCAACTGCCGCTTGCATATTAACAACCGGCAACACCATGACTAACTAAAACGTTAAACAATGGTGGGTGCGCGCCGCCAGGGTGTATAAAATGATGCTATAAGCATGTAAAATGCCCAAGTTAAGCACATGAGCCTGTGTGTCTGTTGCTGCTGCTGCTGGTTTACGGTTTTAGGTGAATAATTAAAAATGAATGCGCGCACTAAATTCTTCATCATCAGCCTCCGTGTCGGATCGGCAGCACAACATAAATGTATAAAAACGCCCCGCGGCCTTAATTCCGCGCCTCTCTGCTCATTAGTTGCAGAACGGTCGAGAGAAAGAGAGACGCGCCCACGAGCATCGCAAATTTGATACTTTTTCGCCAAAAGCATTTCAAATTCTAGATATGAGTTTATCTGATACAAGAAGAGATGTTGAATTATTTTCCTGTGTTTTCCTGCTCAATTATTTTGGCAGGCTTTTTTGTTTTCATTATATAAAAAGGTAGATGTAAATGAGGAAATCTTCTCAAAAATAAAATTATATTCAAACACATTGTTCCATGTAAATGTAATTTATTACACAATTCTTAAAGCATAAAATTTATAAAAATAGAATTAGAAATTTATAATTAGCATAAATATATTAAAAGTTGTTTTTGGTAAAAAAAAAATCAAATTCAATGCTAATTATTTTACTTCTAAATAATAATGATCTATCTTTGTAATTTGCAGTTTCTGTAAAGAAATTTTTAGCTCTATTATAAAATCAATGTGAGAAAATAATTAAAAAATAAAAAATAAATGCCATTTTTGTTGTCCCCTTGCTATTTTATTTTGTGGTGTGTTTTGTAAATGAAGATGTTCATTGAATGATTCAAAAATATTTATAATTATCTGATAATGAGCTCAATTTTAAAAAAATGATCACTTTTTGCATCAATTTTAATTATTGTATAAAAACATTGATAAAATAATGATTTAAGAGAAATATTGGAACAATCTGTAATGCCTTGTCGCATCTCTAGTTTATAGAGATTAAAAGAAAAACTGCGCGTTCTTGCACCCCCTAAGTAGTAAAACGATGCTCGGCATGACACACAAATTATAATTATTGTAATAATAAAGCGCGCACGGGAGAGATATCGTTATAAAAGGTCATTTCATTAAGAACACAGCCGTCAACACGGCGTGTCTGTCTCTCCCATTCGTGCAGCCTATCCAAACTTTTGTACCCTCAGATAGCGCGCACATAACATGCGAAATCACACCCCTGCCGGCGCGCATACGGGGGAGAGAAGTGCACGGAGAGGGTAATCGGATCAGAAAGTATAGTGCACCCTAGTATTACTATTATGCATTTTAAATATGACTCCCCGCTCTTTCTTATACGGCCGAGTTAATTATCTGGCCCTAGTGTGCTGCGATCCACCCTCGAACCCACCCCAGCGCTTGCACACGGGAGGGAGTCGAGGAAATTTCGCTGATCAATGAGCTGTTACAATGGGAATGTGTTTTTTAATGTCAGCAGACACTGCTTTTTAGCTTTCAAGACGCGGCGAAATGACTGTTTGAAGCAAAAAATATTTTTTGAAAGATAAAAAAAAATTACATGTAAGTTCTTTTTCAAAGAAAGTAACTTTGAGATTTTCAAATTAAAAAAAAAAATAAATAAATAAAAATTTAAATTATTTGATCAGCAAATATAAATGTTCATTTGATTAAAAAAAAATCAATCCTGTTGCTGCTTTATTAAACCTACCAACATTCAAGTGAGATTGCATGGGAAAAGTTTAAACAATAAATTTTAATTTTAATAAATTATGCTTTTAAAATCAAATTTCTTTTTATGTTCTCCATACTACAAAAGTTATATCCTATAGGCTAGGGTTCGTTAAAATTTCAACATTTGAAAATGGAATTTAGAATTAGTTAAAACGGTTAAATCCTACTCTCAATAGACTCAAGACAGATGAAAGCCCCAGAATATGAGAAGAGCGAAACTTGATGTACGTAATTAACTAATTATGTAGATAAATTTAAGACCAATATTTACTTCTTTGAGCTTGGAAGGGAAAAAATAGCTTCACGAGTTTTAAAAAAACATTATACCCAATCTTATGAAATTGAAGAATTAATGAATTCACTTTTAATTTTCATAATTTTTTGTACATATTTTTAATGCACAATAAAGTTTGAAATTCTTATATGTAATTTGATGTGCCACTTGATTGGGTCGTCGACGAAATAGGAGAATCGCGTGTCGACCGGCCAAATTTCCGCGACCGCTGCGCACAAAACTAATCCGCCGCGGGCGAACACCCCCGTCTCTCCGCCAATCTTTGAACAGCACCGATTTATGTTTCGCTTTTTTCTGGGGCTCTCAAGAAGGCGCAAGACCGCGGAGGCGTGAAATACGAACCGTAATGATGGCATTTATTAAATATTTACATGAACAGAGAGCTGCGGCGGCTGCGGTCCCGCGAGGAAACGTCGACAAGCCATAACGTCAAAGATCGGCTGCCAGATATATATTCGGTGGCTTTTATGTCTCTCGACACGCGAAACGCAACTTTGGAATGTTATTGCGCTCCATATCTGATTTTTTTTCATTACACACAAGACTTCTGGC